TATAAAATTCCCTGAACGTATCAAGCTCCCTCATCAATATGCTATTCCTCTGCCTGGAACACATAACCCCCTGCCTCTTTACCTCGCTGATTCTGAGATATCTTTTAGCTCTTGGCTTAGAAAGGTTTTCCTCTAAATCAAACGTTCCTGTCTCTTCCAGTCTAGGTTAGAGACTACTCCAAAGTGTTCTCACAGTCCCCTGCACCTACTCCATCACAGTGCTATTTAAACAAGCAATTATAATTGTGATTTATCAATATCCCTTACTGGACCAAAAAGATCAACAATAGCAGGAACTGTCCCATTTACTACTGTATATCCAGTATCTAGCACAGTGAATGGCTAAAATAAATGAATGAAGAAAATAAAATAATTTTATATTAATATTCAGGGGTTTTTTGGGCAAAAATGCAAAGCTTATCAACTTCCCCAGTAAAAACTGGTTACATACTAGTTTAGTTCAATTCAGCAAGTATTTACTGCTTAGCCACATAGGAATCAAAAAGAATATAAGCCAGGTACAATCCTCAAGGGACGTACAGTTTTAAAAATAAGACATACAAGCACATGAAATCTAAACACCACAAAACCCTGTGTTATTACATTCTAAGGCCTGCTGCGTTGGAGACCAGAGCTAAGACAAAGGATTGGGTGCTTGTTCTTGGAGTAGGATTTGAGTGAGCCTTAGGGCAAGTGAGGCTGAGACAGAAAACAGACAGAAATGTGCTAGGCCAGCAGTTCTGAAAGTGAACCTGAAAACACCCTTCTGAAGACACCATCCTCCTTTCAGGGTCCTTAAGGTCAAAAGTACTTTACAAGTCTAAGATGTTATTTGCTTTTTTTACTTTCATTCATTCTCAATTAAATCAATTATACAATGCAGTTTCCCAGAGGCTACATGCCATGTGCTACAACAGATTGAATGCAGAAGTAGGCATGAGAATCCAGCTGTTTTCTATTAAGCCAGACATTAGAGATTTGTAAAAATGTAAAATAATGCCACTTATTAAGTTTGTGTTATTTTGAAAAAAAATAGTTCTTTCATTGCTATTTCTCAGTGAATTAATATTTTAATTTTCTTAGTTTTAAGTTCTATTATAAGTAGTGATATATAACCTACCTACCTAACCAAAGCTCTTTAAGTCCTCAATAATTTTTTAAGAGCCTAATGGGCTACCTACCCAAAAGCTGAGGTTCACTGAGCTAGTTGTCTTTAAGAGATGGATGGGTCAGCAGCCTAGATTCTCTGTATAGAGAAGCTGATTTACATCTATTAGACATTAGCTCAGGCACTGTGTAACTTAAAAACATGTTTAGGGTACAGGTATGGGCTTTCCTCTCAGTAGAGTTATTTTTAATTAGTGCAAAATATAAAAAGAATCTTTTAAAATCATTTTTATTCTTCCACCTAAATATACAGTTTCCTATTTTTTGAATTACCATATACAGACATTTTTACATTTCTAGTCTTCACAATTCTAATCTAAAATAGCTGCATAATCATATCCAGCATTCTTACAAACCTCAATAGCAACGTTCACATTTGGTTCTTAAAGTATTTTATAAAAATATGCTAAAGCCTCACGCAAGAAAGAATACGGCAAATTACCACCCCAAAAACTTACTTCTAGAATGCCAGGGGGTCTTATTTTAAACCAAACTTGCCTGAGAGATCCTGTAGCTTTGAAAACAAAGATAACCACATTTTCCCTCGCCCTTCGGGAAACCTTGAATTCAGGACTATGTCTCTCTAGCTTTGAAAGCTCTACACACTCAAATTCCCGCAAGAATCTGTCTCCCACCAGTCCAGGTGCTACCCATGGCTCCCTCAACACAATTAAAGCCTACATGGTCCCTTCCACCACCTGAAACGACTTCTCCCCTCATCTGGGCCCATCCAGAGTTCACCCTCCAAGGGTCAGCGTGAAAGCCAGCTCACCCAGACCCCTTCAGGATTCCTTCCAACGGAACGTTACTTCCCTCTTCGAACATCTAAAGGACTTTGTTTAAACACCTCTCAAAAGATAATTCTACTCTCTCATTATCATTACTTTTTTATCTCACAACTTCTTTTAGATCTTAAGCTTCTTCAGGGCAGAAACTGTTTCATCAACCTCCATTTCCCGAAGCCCCGTGGGAAGGAGGGAAACAGTGCTGAGGAAAACCACGCTGAGACAAACTGTCATCTACCCCAAGTCACAGAGCCAGCGACAGAGAGTCCAATGCGACTGCCAGACGGCCGGCTCAAAGCCCATGTCCTTTCTCCACATTATCCCATGCTCCCTGCCTTACGTTCCTTATGACAGTAAATATTCAAGAAATGTATAAAATTAGGCCCAGCCGGCGTGGCTCAGTGGTTGGACATAGACTCATGAACCAGGTCACAGTTCGATTCCCTGTCAGGACACATGCTCGGGTTGCGGGCTCCATCCCCAGTGTGGGGTGTGCAGGAGGCAGCCGATCAATGACTCTCTCTCTCATCATTGATGTTTCTACCTCTCCTCCTTCCATCCTCTCTCTGAAATCGATAAAAACATATTTTAAAAGAAATGTACAAAATGAATGGAATCAGACTAGCTTTGTTCTTAATCTAAAGGAAACTCCAAGGTGAAAAATACAGAGAAAATAATTTCTACAATTGATTGCACTTTTGCCACCCATGGCATCATAACCCTATATATCTTATTATGGCCAACAAAACAAATTTAATGTGCAGTTTTCAGGAAACAGCACTGAGGCCAACATCTCTGTTCCTGGAGTATTAAATGTCTATCACCACCTCATTTTTCCTGGTTCTTGATTTGAGCATAATTGGAGCTGACTAGTACGCATGGGACAGAGTAAGATTTCAATAAATGTTTGTTGAATAAATAAAGTGATAAAATTAATCATTTCTTCTACTGTCCAGGAGCCTGAGTTTACTTCCCCTAGTGCCTCATCCAGTTTCTTCACCACAACTGTCTTAGAGCAATAGCTAACAAATACAACGTATATCAGACTACAGAAATACAGCTGACAACTATATGTTTGTATAATTTTTTGGTTTCTGATGTCAATTACTAAGCATTCAATTCTGCTCCAAAGGCATTTCAAAATTATCATGTCCATTCACTCCCATTCATCTAGTTAATCAAAATCCTGAGGTTTGTACTTAATTCCTCCCACTCTCCGTCACTCATTACATCTGACTGCACCCACCTTCCACCAGAGCCTCTACTAGCCTCTCAGCTGGCCTACCACAATAACCTCCTTTAACCTTCTTAATAATCTCCTCGCCTTCACCCAACAGTTTATTCTCCATATAGCCATCAGAGTAATCTTGTTATAAAAAGATGGAATAACTGTTACTCCCCTCCTTAAAATACTTTAATAACTTCCATTACACTTCCAATAAAAAAAAACTCTTTACCAAGGAATTCCTTACAGTATCCTTCATGACCTGCCTCCACCTCTTCATCTCATTCCACTCCCTCTCAGGAACCCACACTCCAGCCATACTGGCTTTCTTGATCACTGTGACCACTACATTATCACTTATCAGTGCAACCTGTTCCTTTCCTTTGTAGCACTTATCAAAAGTTATTATGTATTTGCTTATTTTTGTGTCTCCCCCACTATACTCTAAACCCCCAAACCCCAAAAGGGTGAGATAAAATGTTTTTGTTTTACCACTATGTGTCAAATAGAGAATAAAACCTAGCATGTGGTGTAGGCACTTAATATTTTTGAATGAAGAAACTGCTTCCCCGTTACTCTTAATTTATATTAACATGCATTATATATTGCTAATATGTTAGATAACAAAGTACATAATATATAATACATTACTCTTGTATAATAAAGGACTTACCTGCCTTTGCCCCAGGTTCCTGAGAAGTGCCCACTAAATCCCTGGATATTCGGAGTAATTGAAGTGTCCTTTTCATTCATGTTGGGCCCCTTGGACCACACTTGAGAGTGTATGGTAACAAATTAACGTGTCTTTTATATTCACTGTGGGTGCCTGGACAGTTTACGCTAATGAAATGACCCAGGATGGGAGCCAGTCACGCCAGAAAGACCAACCATGTGATTAGAGGTCACATGGGGTACTGGACACTGACTTAAATCATGTGGCAAAGTTTATGCAATGAAACCTCAATAAAAACTCTGGACATCAAAGCTCTGGTGAGCTTCCCTGGCTGACAATACTCTGTGTATTGTTACCCATCAGTGTGCCTGAAAGGTGATGCATCCTAACTCCACAGGAAGAAGACACAGAAGCTGCGTGTTTGGAACCTTCCCGGACCCACTCTATGTGTCTCTTTTATCGGCTGATCCTGATCGTTTTTTTTTTTTCCTATAATAAAACTGTAATTGTAAATTTAGCACTTTCCTGAGTTCTCTGACTCATTGTAGCAAATTACTGAACCTAAAGAGGGTAATAGGAACCCCTGAATTTGTAGCCACTTGTTCAGAAATGTAGGTGGCCAGAGAACCCCTGAGCTTGAGGATGATGCGTGAAGTGACGGTGTCTTGTGGGGCACTGAGCTCTTAGTGTGCAAGGCAGCCGAACTCCAGGTAGTTAGCGTCTGAACTGCACTATAATTACATAACAAATAACCTATCATTTCGTAAATATGTGTCAGGCATTACACAAGTGTTTTTACATACATGATTTCTAAATCTTCAGAAAACATCTCTAAGCCTCACAACTGCACACGATAGAATTATTATCCTAATTTTTTAAGTAAGGAAACTAGAAGTAAAGGCCACAAAGACAGCAAGTAATTTAGGTGGAGCCTAAGCTCAAACTCAGCCCCATCTGTCTCAGAAGCCCATGATCTAGTCACTGCCCTCACCAGCTGCTCATTACTGGTTATATAAATACAACACAGGATAGCTACAGAAGAATGAAATGCACTCGTACTGAGAGATGACCATAAAATCTAATGATTCTTTAAACAAAGTATAAAATATTTTAGTTTAATACAAATTTCTTTAGCAATTGCTTAACTTACTTGTTTGCGTTTTAGAAACATGTTTCTGGAGAAAATCAACTATCTGAGCCAAAACCTTCTTATTACTATGTGTTGATAATTTTTCATCACACTCGTAACACCTGAAAACATATAAAATTTAAGCAAGTTATTATGAAAATATCTTCAATAATTTTGCACATCAGGTAATAAAGTTGGCATTTATCTACTTTTGCCTTTAAATTATGTGAGTAAGGGAGGTACACAGGGTGAGGCACCAGGGAAATCTAGAGACATAAGCAGTGAACAGTTCATACAGAGCCTTATTATTCAAATCAAAGTTTTAGTAGTTTATCCTAAGTGTAATGGAAATGCCATGAGGGTTTTCAAGCAGGGGAGTGATATGATCCAATTTAAATTTAAAAACATCACTCTGACTGATGTCAAATTGGAGGATATCAGGAAAAGAAGCAGATCAGGGTAAGAAACAGTGAATCTTGAAAAGAATGAACAGATTTATTTTACATATTTTCAGGTATAAACATGAAAAGGGAGAGCCAAATGTCAAAACAACTGCCAGGAGAAGGGAGAAGTGGATGAGGGTGTGTCAGTGATTCTCAAGCAGGAGCAGTTTTGTTCCCAGGGGACCTTTGGAAGTGTACTTGGCAATGTACTTGGCAGTGTGTTTGGCAGAGCATTGAGAACATTTTGGTTGTCACACTGGGGAAGCTGCTACTGACATCCAGTGGGTAGAGAGGCCAGGGATGCTGCTAAACATCCTATAATGTACAGGACAGTCCCCTCACAACAGAGAATTATCAGCCCAAAAGACACTAGTACTGAGATTGAGAGGTCCTGGTTTAAATAAAACAAGACCGACTGAGTGTTGATAATGTTTAAAGCTGGGTGATGGGTACAGAGGAAATCATTATACTATTTGTCTACTATTGTTAAAAGATTTTAAAAAATAAAATAAGATTAAAAAAGGGAAGAAAACAACTGCCAGGCTTCTGACTTGGATACTTAGTTCTACTTACAGAGATGGAGAAGACTGGATGAGAGTGTTTTATTTTGTTTGGGGTACTGTGCAAGTAATTATCATCTGTTAAAGCAGTATCAAATCCACTGTCTAACAACACTTTGTTAATCATAATTAAATTATCAAATCTACACTATTCCTTTCTTTTTTAGGTTTTTCCCCAGCAGCATAGGCAATACCTGGGGACTTGATAGAAAAGCAAATTCGAAGGCCCTACCCTAAAACCACTAAAACAGAATCTGTAGACCTGGGACCCAGCAATCTATTTTAACAAGCCCTCCCAGTGATTCTGACACACCCCATAGTTTGAGACCATTGCTACAGAGAAATGTTTATTAAGCTGCCATACTAGGCATCATCCTCCACTCCTCCGGCTCCAATGCATCATTTACATAGTAAATTCCCTCTATTCTTTCCTCATTCTCCCCAATACTATTACTTGGGGCCAACAACAACAAAAACACAAATGCAGCAACCACCCAACCCTGTGGCTGAATTAAATTATAAGATGGTGATATCTCCTACAGGCCAAAATATCCTAACATTAATTTTAGAACCTTGAAATAAAAACACAAAGCTACAATATTTTTGTCTTAAAGAAAATTTGAAAATTCATTCAAGAAACCCTAGTAGTCTATAAATTCCAATTCGAATACTTTTGTCGTAAAATACAAGGCAAGCTTTTCAATAGTGTCCACTTATATTACTGAAGCAGTGTGGTATGCTGAGAAGAGGCTAGGGAACCAAAAGATTTGTTTTAGTGCCTGGATTTTTGTTTTGCAACCACAAAACGCTAAATGATATCCAGTGTCCTTATACAAAAAGTGAGGGAACTAAACTTGATTCCCAAGCAAGGTTTCATAGTAGAATCACCTAAGAAGTTCCCTTTCCCCTGCAGAGAATCACTAAACCACTTGGCTGCTTCAAGTGCCCTCCTCCTCTACAACTCTGGGATTCTGTATTGGCAAGTTCATTACAAAAAGGCAACTGGAAAGAATTTGTCTTTATTGTAAAAATAAAAAGTTAGCCCCGCCGGGTGTGGCTCAGCAGTTGAGAATTGACCTAGGATCCAGGTGATCGTGGTTCGATTCCTGGTCAGGGCACATGCCCAGGTTGTGGGCTCGATCCCCAGTCGGGGGCATGCAGGAGGCAGCTGATCAATGACTCTCTCATCATTGACGTTTCTATCTCTCTCTCTCCCTCTCCCTTCCTCTCTTTGAAAGCAATAAAGATATATATTTAATAAGTGAATAAATAGATTAAAAGTTAAAGAAAAGTAGAGGAATGACTGATTTCTTATTTAAATTTTGTATTCATGAGTAATATTAATTTTCTTAAATTATTCCATAGGTTGTATTTCAGGCTAAAAAGCATAAGCTGGTATAACATCTTTAATTATTTTACCTGTAAAGCTAAAAATATATATATATATTTTTTTGTAATGGGCATAAGTACTAATAAAATCTAACTTACCATATAATCCAAGAGCTCAGACTAATTACAATACAATGAAGCTCTGTTCTCCAACTCTTGAAGTGCTTCAATGAATGTTGGCTTTCTGAGTTTTTACCACATCCCTAAAGATGAACAGAATGCTATTTGTATGATTTACATATACATTTGTTTCTAATTAACGAAAACTTAAATCATAGTCAGACTCCAAAAAACTTACAGAATACTAAGTAGGTAATGGCAGGTCTAGATATGAGAACTATTGTGAGTGGGCTAGATTCTCTTTGAAGTTTTTATAAACCACACATGATTACTTTCTGAACAAAACATACCTTTACTTTACCATAAACATTTCTAAGCTCAGCCTTGGAGAGTTCTATCAAAACATGGAATACATTTATCTTAAGTTCTAAGCATTACTAACAAACTCAAAATAAGCATTAAAGAAAATATTTAAGACAAACTCACACATAAAAAAAACCCTCTTTTCTCACCTGAAAACCACACTTGAGGCACAACCAAATATCAGAAGGAAGTACTGCCTGCCCATCACAGCATCTTCTTTCTTTTAAACATTCTGAGCAAACTGACCACAGATTCTCAGCTATTGCTCTTTTCACATGATTCACACTGACAGCCTGACTTACATGCTGGCAAGTGAAACCTACTAAAGAAGAAAAAACAAAATTTGAGCATTTTCTTTGCTAAACCAAAGTGCTACCGTTGGTAAGCAAAGTCACTAACATTAAAATGCTGTAACTAAAAAGCACTGAGATTTTTTAAAAATAAAATAATTCAAAAAGGATACATATTGCATGATTCCATTTATAAAACATTTGTGGAATAACACAATTCTAGAGTTAGAGTTAGATCAGTGATTTCCAAAGGCTGGGGATGGGAAGAAGGAGTTGTGGCTGTAGATGGGTATAAACTTCGCATGATTTAACAGACAAGTATCTTGATTATTGTAGTTATAGAAAGTTACACATGTAACGAAACTGCATAAAGCTACGAATGCGTGCACACACACACATACACACACGCACACAAATGCATGAATATCTGGTGAAATCTGAATAAACTCTAAAGATTGCACCAATGTCAGGTTCCTGGTTTTGATACAATACGTTAAACCAGGAGAGGTTAGGTGAAGGGTGAGTGGGACCTCCTTGTATGTATATTTCTTTGTACCTTCCTGTGAATCTAAAATTAGTTCAAAAATAAAAGTTTAATAAATAAATAAAATAAAGGAGATTATTTATTGAGCAGCTACAATGTGTCTAGTATTTTGAACGTATCTTCTTTCAATTAAAATATACACATAAAATCTTTTCACAGAGACTAGCCTTGCTATGATGCTATTTTCATCATTGTTGGGAGAAAGGAGAGAGAAGAATATGGATGTAATTTACAGGAGTAAGAATTCTCAGAATCCTCCCTAATGGATATTCCCAAATAACAAATGATTTTGCATGATCCTTAATTACCCTTTATAACAGATTCCTGCTGTGTGCACTGTGTGGAGACAAATGACCAAAATGAGCAAACATGCTTTTAATTCTTCAAAGACCACATTCTTCTGCCAAGGGCACAATGATGCTTCCATTTCTCCCAGATACCTGAGCACTTTAATTTCTTCACCTCAAATATCCCCAACACCAAACCTACAACTCCCTGCCAAAATCAAACACCGAGGCTGAGTAACTTGAAGAAGGAAACAGGAGTATGTACATTCCAACTTTCTCCACTTCCCCTTCTAAATGCGAAGCCTTCCTTCCACCTGCTAGTTAACTAGAGACAGGCCAAACATTACTTCCATTTCACCCTGAAGACTAAGAATGTGATTCCTGACAAGTTACTTATAATAAAATATAATTTTAACAAAAATAATACATAAATCTGATAAAAGATTAAAACTAATTTTACATCAAGAACAAGTTACAAGAATAAAGGAGTATGTTTGAAGTATGTCTGAAGTTTGTTTGAAAAAGGGGGTGCATGCCATTAAAGAAGGGGATGTTTGGGGGAAGACTGATAAATGATCACACAAGTTCAAGACCTAGAAATGGTTTTACCACATGCCAATGCTTTGAGTTTTTATATTTTCGCATCCTAAGGGGAAAATCATTCCGCACACCTTCTACATCATCTTTGGGATGGGATCAGGCCAGGTTACTACTTAATATTCTCTGATTCTGTAATTCAAATTTATAAAACTGAAATTGTTAATGAATTCAAGATAAAGACTTGTTTAAAAAAGATAACAGGACCAAAACAGAATCAGTTATGCAAAGCCCCATGTCACCAAACTGAGATTTAATCCTTAGCTTAATTACAGTTTCAGCCTCTGGAAAGGACTTTTAAACTTTCCCAGGAATGGAATCTTAAAGCAGTCAGCCTGGAATTTCCTAGTCAGCACTAGAGAGGTCATCTGCTAGGACCTCCACCAACCCTTAAAGGAAGGGGATCTTGCCACAACAAACCCCTTTTTGCTAGTATAATTTCTTTACCCTGCTCCCTTCTGCCTATAAAAGACTTTCATTTTGGAACTCCTTGGAGCTCCTGTCTGTCTGCTAGATGGACTGCTAATTCATGAATTATTGAATAAAGCCCATAAGTTCTGTAAAATTTACTCAATCAAAATTTTAATAGGTTCCAAGCCCCTAAATTAAATCTATTAGCTTTTTAATGTCTCACCCTATATACTCTTTATAAGTATAAGTAAATTTAAAAGTTTGAAATTTTCCTACAAGAGCTAACCAGTGTTTAAATGGAGCTATCTTTTGAGGAGCGGGGGAGTACTCAAAAATTCCGTCTGTGTTAATAAGCAAATTTCCTCAGTTTTCCATAATTTGTTTAATCATATAATTATCTAAATTTCATCTGACAAGTAGGTCCTCTGGAGATTCCTGAATAAAAATATAAAAATGTGTTAAACTCTATAGTTGTTTCACATTAATAAATCAAAAACAATAATCCAAATCTCCTTTTTTACTTTAACTATTAATAAAAAAAACTTTACAAGAAGGTCTTCCAGTTGGCAAATAGTGGCATAAAAATTAACACTTCCCCTTTTTCCTCCAAGAAATTATCCAAGGGCAAAAAGACTAGTAACAAATATCATTTTCAGTGACACCAGGGTACAGCTGAACACCCCAATCACGAACTCAGTGGAGGGCTCCCGCCCTGAAGCAGGACAGATCCGATGGAAGCGCACACGGAGGCAGAGAGACCGCTGCAGCTGCGGCTCTCACGGGGAACGACGATGCCCCGCAGGCACGGAACAAAGCCAGACCTCTGTGCTGCAGCAACAGGGGCGCCCCTAGGTCCAGTTTTGTTTTGAGAAGAAGCAAGAGAAGGGAATGTCTCATTCGTTAGGGGGAAACAAAAAAGCAAGCCATATTTGCAGGATACAGTCTTGTCTCTATGACAATTGGGAAAAAGAGATACTTTGGATTCGGAAAAAACCCAGTGCTGCATAATCCTGTTGGTTGGAAAGAAGGAAAGGCTAAATGACTCCAACTCAAAATTCCAGGGAGGTCTCAACAGTGCTCTGGCCCTCCTTCCAGCATAAGTATTCTAAAACTTACTGGTCCAAGAAAAGCAATCCTACATCAAAGAAAGTAATCAAAGAAAATATCAAAGATGAAAATTCTACACTAAGGTAATATAAGGGAAAGAGGAAATGGAAAATCATAGCAGAGTAATCACTGCCATGAAAGAAAAACACAAAACAGAAGCAGAGAGGACACATGAGGTGGCAAAACAATAGGAAGTAACTGTCAGAGTTCAGGAAAGAAGTGGAAGAAATATAATAATAAAACCACAAAAATGAAAGCAAAATTAAAGCCTACAAGGTGACACAGACACTGCTGAAAATACACTAAAGGATAAAAATGAAAACAGCACAAAATGAAAAGGAAATGGAGTTTTAGAGAATCTGAGAAAAAAATTATAAGTATGGAAGACCGGCAAAGGGGAGTTAACATAAGAATACAGGTAATCAGAATTCCTGAAGAAAACCATATTAACAGAGGAGACTATTTAAAATATGTTTTTATTGATTTTATGATTTGAGAGACAGAGGAAGGGAGAGAGAGAGAGAGAAACATCACTGAGAGAGAAACATCAACATTGATCGGCTGCCTCCAGCACGACCCCCTCTGGGGATCGAGCTCACAAACCAGGTATGTGCTCTGACCGGGAATCGAACCGGCGACCTCCTGGTGCATGGGTCAATGCTCAACCACTGAGCAACACTGGCCGGGAAAGAAGAGACTATTTAAAGATAAAATTCAGACTTCCTTCAATGCAGCAATCTAGCTATCTTGAAACACAATCCAAGTTAATAACATTAAAAAATGGAAATAACATATTAAAAACATCTTTTTAAATGAAGAGCTGACCTAACTGGTAAGAAAGTAGAGAAAATCCTCCAAGGCCAAAACCAAAGGCATGAGGCTAAAGCAAGCCCTGAAGCCAGCAGCTCCCCAGGGTCATCTGCTCACTTTGGTGACTTGAAGTCTTGGTTTTAACAGACCATGAGAAACAAAATGATGACAAAAATAAGCCAATTTCAATTACTTTATAAACTAAACAAAATCTCAGTAAAAACACCAATGCCATATTTTGGAACTAGACAAGCTGATTTTTAAGTTCACACAGAAAAAGGTAAAAATAAAGAGAAAAGAATTTATTAATTAAAAGTATATGTTTAACCACTATGCCGTACACCTAAAACTAATACAAAATACTGAATGTAAATTGTAACTGAAAAATAAAATTAAAAAAAACATATATTGTTATTTCTTTTCTGCAGTACTATTTAGGAGGCCAGATATCACAATTTACCAGCAATGTCATCTGAAGAGTCTTCATCATGAGGTATAGTAGGCCTTTTACTTCTTTTGGCTTTCTCAGGTAAAACTTTGGATGGCTCTTTCACCCGCATCTGTTATTTACTGAAAAGGTTGGGGGGAAAATAAATACAGTTTAATCCTCAAAACTAAATTTTATGTATTTTACTTAACACATATTAAAAGTGAAATTACTTCCATTTTAATTGGTCTACTAAATCAACAGAGGAAGAAGAGGGGAGAGTCAGCTGAAACCAAAAAAAAAAATCTTTATTAAACCAATATACGAATGGCACTTTACATTCGACTTTTACCAACTGCTCCCTAGATATATGCTGTCTAGGTGAATGAAAAACTAAAGTTTAGACCAATGAAACAAGTGTTGCTTCTGGGTCATGTGCTCCCCTTGCCCATTCTCCTGTCCTACTAGCAAGGAGATAGTAGGAGTTGGTAAAGCCACAATGGACCAGGAATGGAAGCCATGTGACAAGCACAGTAGAGCTGCCCCACCTTTGCTGCATGACCTAGTGCCAGGCTACTAAGAGAGAAATTTCTACCTTTTGAAGCTATTGCATTTTCCTCAGTTTTTTTATTATGAAGTTTTAAACTTTCAAAAAAGTTTAAAGAACAGCATAATGAATACCCATGTACTATCTAGATTCCACATCTAGAACATTTTGCCTTATTTATTTTACCTAAATATCAATGTACATACAGAGAGACGTATATACATGTATGTTTTTGCTGAACTATTTGAAAGTTGCACACAGCATGTATCTCTTAAGAATAGAAATATTTTTCTGTATAATCACATCATTATCACACCTAAGAAAATCAACAATTCGCTAATGTTATCTCATACCCTATCATTTTCCAGCTTCTTCAGCTAACCCAAGAGGTCTTCTATGCTGGTTTGTTGAATAAGGATTCAGTCACGGCTTGCACTTTGTATTGGTTATGTCACTTTAGTACCTTCTAATCTACAACTGTTCTTCCCATAAAAGATGGAAGTTAACAGCGCCCTACTTTCCTAAGACACTCGTGTTTTTAAGAGATCAGGGCAGTGCATGGCTCACCTTGGAGATTTTGCTAAATGTAGATTTTCTATTAAACAGGTCTGGCACAGGATCTGAGATTCTGCCCATTTAGCAAGCCCCCAATGGGAAGCCAGTGCCGGGGGTCTGCAGACCACACTTTCAACAGCAAGGCTGTATAACATCCCACGCTGAATTTGACTCTTTCCTCGTGGTGTTATTTACCTCTATCTCATATTTCTTGAAAACTCAGTTAATTCTAAAGATTTTAGATACAAGTTAAGCAATTTTTTAAACCACTATATTTTAAAGTCTCTATTAAATTAGCTTAGCCTAAATCCTACCTACTATCACCCTGCTCCATGGTTAAGCTTCACTGCAATATTCGTGGTTATCTGCTTTTATTGATCAAGGTGAGAGAAATTTTCAATTCAGTAATAAATTCTGAATCTTGATTTAGTCATACCATGTTCCACATAAGGGAACTTTTGAATTTACCATTTTATAAGCCATTTTTTTAAGTCAAAGGGTCATCATATTGAACTGAGCTGCAACAAATGAAGGCCTTCAAGGTCACAGAGATGGACAAGGCCTCTGGGGTCCTTGACCACTTCATTTCTGACTGCCTTCTCCCTCCAAACTTCCTCACCCACTTAGCCCTATAGTTCAACCTTGCAAAATCACTAATTCAAGTATTCCATTCTCTGAACAACTTCAAGTTCTTTCCACTTGCTTGATCAGCCACTCCTACTCTCCTTTAGTGCTCAGGCTACAGGAGTCTGCATCTCAACAAGTGCTTCCATGATCACTATAGCAGCACAGGGAAAAGGGGACGTGGCAAATGGGAGTGACGGTTCTTTGAGCTTCACTTTACACATATCATGTCTGCTCATATTTTACTGGCCAAAACAAGTCATATGGCCATGTCTAATTTCAAGTAGACATAGGGAGTGGGGGTGTTAGAATGTGTACAAAGAGTGCCGCCTTATCATGTACCCAGGAGGAACAAAATATGTGTGCACAGCCTGAATGAGTACATCGCCCTCTAACAGAACCCCAATCCTAGTTGAACACAATTAACAACTTTCTTGATGTCTGCATCCAAACAGGCTGGAGAAAGTCTTGTAAGAAAGCAGAGTGGGTCCATTAAATTCGTAAACAATTTCAAATGGATCAAGACATCCCATTATCTACTACACCTTCTGGTCAACTTACCTATCCTCACACAGCCATTGGAAACCTTTTTCACTCTTCCAAACCTCCAACTCCTCCATTTCCCTACTCCTCAAAATAGAATCTAGTTTTCTACTTTACTGAGACATAATCAGATGGCAAATCTGACCTTTCCACCCCCAAACGTACAAACTTACCTCCAACTATGTTAACTTGATGTCCCAAAAAGAGATAGACATAACTAAAAGAATCTAGGAAAAATGGCCCATAAGAAACTGGTAATATTTTTCCCCAATTGTACAGATAAACTCTCAATAAAGAAGAGTATTAACACATAGATAATGCTGTCAGAATAAAAAAAAAAAAGAACCAGTATTTGACCTAAAATCTGTAAAAGACAGCCTTTTTAAAAAAAACACTGACTTGCCCGGCCAGGCGTGGCTCAGCAGTTGAGTGTCAACCTAGGATCCAGGCAATCGGGGTTCGATTCCAGGTCAGGGGAGTGCAGAAGGCAGTGGATCAATGACTCATCACTGATGTTTCTCTCTCTCTCTCTCCCCTTTCCTCTCTCTGAAATCAATAAAGACATATTTAAAAAAACAAAACACTGACTCAAACTTAACTTGGCACTGTCAAGTCAATTTCCACTGTTTTTTCTGACATATACAATATGTCTAAACATACAGAATCATTCTGGACAGTAACCCACATTTAACAATCGCTTATCTGTATAGGTGTCTTTTTCAATTTCCCTTTAAAGCAAAATTAGACCAGTTCAATTATTAGAGCTTCAAATACTTCCTATCATCAATATAGTGTGTGGGGTGTTCCAAGATCACCCTCACATTTGGAGATTCACTAGGACTTACAAAACTCAGCATATAGTTAGCTGTACTCACAGGTAACTTTTATTACTGCAGTGTAGTATGAAAATACAGCCTGATCATAATGGAAAAAGATCCAGGTGAAGTCTGGAGGAATCCATGTGCAGGCTTCCTTATGTTCTCTCCCTCCCAGAAGGAATGAAATCCAGCAAAACGTCTGTGCAATATTTTTGCCCAGGGAAACCCATTACAGCCTCGCAGGCCCAGGATTTTCACGGGAGCTGGAAACTTCAGTGCAAACCATATTGTCAAGCGCAAACCATACTGTAAAGCATAAACCATACTGCTTCCAGATGCCGAACAAGGTCTAACCTTGCAAGCAGGTCTTTCTAAAGACAGCAGTCTCAGGCCTACGATGCTCTTTTCAGCACAGTTACTTTCTGGCCATTTTTCCATGTGGTTTCCCAGCCAAAGCTTTCCGTTTTCAACTTCAGCATTACTCTGTCTTAGTTGTTTAGAAATGTTTGATTTTTTTAAAAGCAGGTTAGGCAAAAAAAAAAAAAAAA